CTGTTCTCAGTAGCTCAGTGGCATTAGCAGAGTGTCGAACAAGAACTACAACACTGCTGTGGTTTGCAATCACAAACAGCCCAAACCTCTACAATAAAGCTGCTTTGTCAGTTGTAATACCTTGGCTGTTGCCTGGGCTCGCACCTCTGGTCCCCCAACAATGTCCAGAGTGTCATAGAGCTGCTCATAAACCTGAGGACAACAAAGCAGAGCAAAGGTGGCTCAGACTGGAGTGTAATGGTGCTATAGCATCACACAGTGCAGCAGATACACAGACAATGGATAACACTGCAAACATCCATGATAAATTCTATTATCAGCTAAATATAAGAAACTGCACCACGTGCTTTCAGTCAGTCTTTGATAACAGCTTCAAGGCTCACACTCATTTACTGTTATCTTCTTTACTATTTAGTTATTCATTAAGTCATTAGTTGTTACAGTCATTAGTTATCTAACTTAACTTTTTAAATGCAAGTGTTGCCATGAAAGCTAGCGTGGTGGCTGGTTGCTCGTTCAGCATCAGATTTTAGTAAATGGCCTTAAAGTGTAGTTTTCACTGATTGGAGGCTAAATATGTGGCTGCAGCTCAGGAGGCAGAGCAGGTCATCTACTAATCTCTACTGAAGGCTGTACGCCAGTGTGCTGAGGCCCAGGTGAGAGTCCAATCCACGGTCCTTCCATCTCCACTGCACCACCATTCAGTAAAGACAAAAATGTCCAAAAAGAAAGGAAACAAGTGCACATGTTCTCAGATGAGTCATTTAGAAAAAGTCTGAGATGATTAAATGAAAACAGACTGTTATGTGAGGACGTGACGATGCTCACTTTATGCACCAGACGTTAGGAAAAAGATTATTAAAACATTATAAAGGGCCGTGGCACTTTACCTCTCTAATGGCAGCACAGAATTTGCTCTGCAGGACTCTCTGCAGGGCCTGCAGTTTGGGAGGAGGCAGCTCACCAGTCCGCTGCAGCCGGTCCAGCAGCTCGATCACCCTGCAAACATCTAACCCACAACACACAAGCCAGGATTAACAACACAGCAACACAACACTGTCTGTGGACATTACAGACCCTCCCACAGTCACAGTATGCATTTCCATGAGGTGAGGGGGAACATCTACTGCCTGCATCTACTGCCTTTCCATCCATCCCCAAAGGTCCTCAGTTGGATTTAGATCAGGGGAACACACAGGATGGTCCAGCAGGGTGATGTTATTGTCCTAGAAGAAGTCTCTTGTCCTGCAGCATTGTGTACTGTTGCGTTGTCCTGTTGATAAACCCAGTGGTTACCACACAGACGAGGCCCTCAGTCATGAGGGACGCTCTCTGCAACATCTGGGCACAGCCAGCAGCTGCCCCTGCACCTCCTGAAGCTCCACTGAAGGAAAAAGCACCCCAGGCCATGATGGCGGGAGACTACCTGACAGGAAAGGACAATGAATCCACATTCAGCCTTTTAAAGGCCATGATCCCACCAAGAGGTAGGATCATGGCTAAACTGGAAACCTGGACCCTCCTGGGGTGATTACCAACACGATGTTAACCCTCTGAAGGTCTACTGGAAAATGTGAATATGGAGCATTTTGGACTCTTTCTAGTCCCTGTCAGGACTCTTGCTGCAGCATTTTGGATCTACTGCCTGCATCTGTTGTCCATTTCTGTAAACTTCCCTTTCCATCCATCCCCAAAGGCTCTCCGTTGGAGAACCTTTGGGGATGGATGGTTCTCCAACGGAGAAACTCCCTGAAAAGCCGAAAGCTTTTCAGAGAGTTTTTAGGACATCCTGATAATAATGAATTACAGTCGTCCAGCCTGGAAGTAATAAATGCATGAACTAGTTTTTCAGCGTCACTCTGAGATTACTTATTTACTTATTACTTTTTAAAAACATGATACCTAATCTGAATACGTAATAAAGCAACGGACCTTTCAGCCCAACTCTATTTTTCTGCATAATCATCATATCAAATTGAATCAAATGGAAAAGTCTCTTTTTAAAATTGTTTTATTAGTTTTAATCTTTTAACTTTATGCACACTGCATCAAGCAAAAGTTTAATTATCTGTTACAGTCTTTCACATGAAGAAATGTACCATTTAAACCTATGTTCTGCATATTCCAGCATATGAAATAAAATCATGTTTTGTGTTTACACTCTTTCAAATAGATGCAAGTAAAACTCAGCAAATAAATAAATAAAATCAAAGATTCAGCAGCTCTTAAATCTATTGTCACCTGTTTAGCAGGAGTGGGGCGGATCCCTTAGTAATCCCTTTACTCGTCACTTGAAAAACGTAATCGGATTACAGTAACGTGTCACTGCCCATCTCTGCTCAGCATAACATGGAAGCGCCTGTCAGGCAACATAGATGAACAGACAGAAGGCTCAATACATGAGCAGGGCACAGAGAGGAATCGGCAGGAATACCAGAGGCACAACGCATCAACCAATGGTAGACGGAGCAGTTTCCAGAGCCCTGGGAGCTTGAGGGTCCTGCACAGCATCTCTGTTGTTCCTAGGACTGCGCTCTTCTGGACAGAGATCCAGAACCTCTCTGCACTGAATCACACCTGTTATTAACCTCTGTCTCTCTTCCACAGCATGTCTTTATCCCGTCTTCCTTCTCTTACCCCAACCAATCACAGCAGATGGCCGCCTCTCCGTGAGCCTGGTTCTGCTGGAGGTTTCTTCCTGTTTTCTTCCTGTTGAAAGGGAGTTTAAAGGGGTGAGATATCATCACCCCCACCCGAGATTGGGTACTTCGCCCCAAGTGCGATGGAAGGATTGTTGAGTGCACTGATCCTGAAAAATAGGACCATGGTAAAGCTTGAAACCTGGATCTTCTGTAGCTGGTTAACCAAGACTACATGAAGTACCCTCAGAAGATCTACTAGACGATGTGAACAGGGTCCAGTAACATCATGGTGACAGATATCCAAGACAGGGTCTCCAGTGTAAAGTATTGGACAGCACCAGAACCTCACATGGATCACGCCTGCTGTCTGAAGAAGCTGACTGCACTCCATGAGCGTCTGGCAGCACAGATGAACCAGAGAGACATCCGGAAAGGCTAACCATAGGCCAGACAGTCCTGATCCTCAAGGACCCCCAGGAGGGACCGGTCCCCTCCAACTACCGACCAATAACCTGCCTCAGCACCACGTGGACGCTTCTGTCAGGCGTCATAGTGGCTAAGATAAACAGCAGCTACTGGTAGATCGAGCAGTTAGCTGAGACTGCAAGACCAGTCTGACCAACCTGTGCACTGCCTGGATTGATTACAAAGAGACCTATGACTCAATGCCCCACAGCTGGATCCTGGAATGCCTAGAAGAGCCTTCATCAGAAACTCAACGGGGATGTGACAGACAACATCAGAGGCCAACTCCAAGCCAACTGCACAAGTTACCATCAAGTGCAGGATCTACCAAGATGCTCTGTCCCTGCTGCTGTTCTGCATAGGCCTGAACCCCCCTCAGCGAGATCATTGGCAAGACTGGCTACGGATACCAGCTACTGAATGGAGCAGCTGTCAGCCTCTACATGGATGACATCAAGCTGTATGCCAAGAGTGAACAAGACATCGATTCACTGATCCACACTACCAGGATATACAGCAAAGACATCAGGATGTTGTTCGGACTGGAGAAGTGTAGGAAGGGTAGTGTTGGGATTAAATAATTTGCAGTGCCTCAATAATGCTATGCTTTTTATTAATAAGTGTTATGAAGTTATATAGTGTAGTATTAAGTGGACACACCCCTGAAAATAAAGGCATGAGACCATGTGTTCTTGGGGAGTAGAAAGCTGCAGACTCTCGCTCACGCTTGCCTGGGAAAAAGTAGATAAGAGGGGACCATCTGGAAAGTTACTGAGACACTGTTGTTTAGACTAGAATGAGACAGCTTCTGTAATAAAACGGTTAGGGGCGCACCACCATTTGGAGATCCGTGGCAACGTGTCATGCAGGACGCATCTCCCTTCTAGAAGTAATGTGAAAGAGAAATAAAGTGTTAAATGGTCTGAGTCTGTTTCGTCTTCCATCGGATGTCTCTGAGGGATCAAAAGAACTCAGAACTGTGGGGATCGAACTACCAGAAGGCAACACTGCTGTACGAAAGGCCCCGTAGTTACGGTTATCGTTGTTCAGTTGTTAGTTTCACCGGTAGTTTTTTAAAGTGGCCAGTGGAGGTCACCCCACTGCTTTGTATGAGAGAGACAATGGGCAGGCACCTGAGCTTTTCTGCTCCAGGTTATGGGCAGAGAATCAGTCATTCCTTGAGAAGTGTGCGTTAATGAGCAAAGTAAGCTTGTGATGTGTGAGTATAAGTGATGGTAAGATATGTTTGGGACTGTGTCTGAGGTTAGTGGGGGAATGACTGTGCTTCTGCCTGTGCAGCTAGTGAGCGTGATCAGGTACCCTGCTGGGGTAATAGGCTGGC